AGGCACAGAAGAGACAATCTACCGATTCACAAAATGGTGCTGATGGGCACATTGCTTCCATTACTTCTATAGCGTTATTGATGCTAAGTTTTCATTGCACCTTGTGCTCAACTACCATACTGTGTGGAAACCTTACTGTTTCGTTGTAGTGTGGCGAGTCAAATGTCTTACAAAAGTCCTCAGCGCATACTTGATAAATCACTTGTACTTCGGAAATGAGTTGTACTCCACCCGGAATGCATTTTATAATATAAATCTGGTGATCTTTACTACTTGGTCTGGTACCTTTTGTCCCTTCACTCCGTCATTTGCGAATAGTAGTCCCAGCATGGTGACAAGTAGTATTGTGTCAAGATGCTCTCGGCATAGTTTTTCTTGCGATTCGGACGAAGGTTGTAAGGATGCGCGGTAGCTTCTTTCGTAATAGGCGTACTTTCATTACCTCCCGCATCTGCTTCGTATTTGTTTTCGGACTGGTACTCTTCCAGTTCCAGTGGTACTAGAAGGTTAACTGGTCTGCGAATTTTGTGGTGTGAGGTTAGCATGACGCCTGCTTCCCTTATGACCCCACACGGGTTTTTGACCAGTTCAATGATCCGTCCGAGTTTCCAGACTTGACGTGGTTGCACTGGGTCTGCAATCAGCACCAAATCCCCATTTCTTGGTTCGTATAAGGATCCACGTTTCTGTCCCACGTCTCTCTGATGCTTTTCCCGTAATGACTTTAAGTAATGAGTCTGCCATACTTGCCAAAATTTTTCTACAGCTTTGCAGGAGGATTGTAAGGCTTCTATGTTTGCCTTTTTGTTCGTAGCAGGACCAGCTCTTCACTTGCTACAAAACTTGGATCTTCTTCTTCTTCTCTGAAAAGATTTACAAGGTATTTCATCTGTATTTCGTTTTGTAAATAGTCTATTGGTCGTAGGGAGACTTCATTTAGGCTATCCGTTTCCATATACAAGAGTAGTCTTGTGTTGAGTAAGGCTTCTATCTCCACGATCACCGTGATTAGTTCGTCAAATGCCAGTGTTTGATTTCCAAGCGTTTTGTATAGCGAGAGTTTTACTGACTTGATCAAGCGTTCGTAAAGCCCCCTTGCCATAGGGCATACGGTGTAATGCGTTATCAAATGATCTCTCGGTCGCTGAGTTTCTTCATTATGCTTGGATCATTTTTTGCTGATTCATAGCTTTCCCTGAGTGTGGTTTTCTCCAAGAAGAAACGTCGGCGCATTATCTGACGTTATTGTTCGAGGTACTCCTCGGCGTCCGAAAAATCGCCGAAGCAGTAACAGGAACGCTTTAGTTGAGAGATCTTGAGCTATGTCCAAGTGAATCAGTCTAGTTACCATACAGATAATCATGCATCCGTAGCATTTTCCCTTGCTTTCTTCAGAAAGAGCAACACTGAGTGGACCAAAGTAGTCCAGTCCGACATGTTCGAAAGGCTTTGCTCGTTGTACTCGTTCTTTGGGAAGGTCACTTTGTTCCGGATACTTGAATGGCAAGTTGTTGAATTTCTGACAAGGAACACATCGACGGATGATTCGAGTTACTTCAGATCGGAGTTTTGGTAGTAGTCCCAATAGTCTTGTGTTACGAGAGACATTGTGTGGTTAATGCTTGCATGACCTTTGTTATGGCATTCCCTTATTATGGTTTCGGCTAGCCACGTGTTTTGCATGATGACCAGTGGCTGTTTTGCACTTTGATTCATCTTGCTCCTATCCAGTCTTCCATAACAGCGAAAGAGGCCGTCTTGGTCTTTTTTGATGTTCAAATGACTCATTGATCGCCTCACTTCTTGAGTGATCAGTATCTGGTGCTGTCTGATTACCGCTTTAGGTGCTACAACAATTTCCGCTCCATTTAGTCCTATCCCATCGTACATCATGTCCGGTTTCAGCCAATTTGATAAGACTATTGTAATGGTTCTTTTCTTGTTTACCCTTGTTACCAAAATTCTGACGTATCGTAGCACATATGCTTCAATGCGCTTTATTGTTACTAGCGGATGTTTCTTCAACCGATCAAGAGGAATTGGAGTAGTTAATTGTTGGACCCGTACACTTGCTGCTACCGTTACTTCATCCTCATCTTCACCCAATGTTTTCTGTTGAAAGAGAGCAGTGCTTTTCCATTTCTTCGGATTTTCGCGCAGGAATTGAGGCCCTGTCCACCAATAATGATTCAACAGATCTGTTTTGGATAGACCTCGAGTGGCGCAGTCTGTCGGATTTTCAGATGAGGATACATGAGCAAACCATACTTGACACCCCTTTTCCTCTATGTTCTTCACGATTTTCTCAATCTCCGTGAGTCTGCTGGCTATCATCCTTCCTACTCCTTTCTGTGGTTTCGATTTGATCCATTGGAGGGCGATTTCTGAGTTTGACAGTACAATTGTTTGTGTAATCTTAACGACGGATTGTAGTTGCGTGATCGCTGCACTTGCAATTCGCATGGCCAGCGTAACCGCATTGAGCTCCAACTTCGGCATCGTAACCGTGGACTTAAAGGCAGTGTCCGGACAAAAATTCGATTTTGAGATTTTGCGCTTAGGGGCCTATTCGCTATGCTGAATCCGAAAATCCACATTGGAGAGCGCGAAAACGACGAAAAAGGGCTCTAACACTGGAGGGAAATCAGCAAGTGGGCGGGGTCTTCCCCAGGGTGAATTCACGGTCCCAGCTCCCGGAGCGATCTTTTCGCTTACGACTTCAGATCATGCATTCGCACTTGGTCCGTTGAGATGTCAGGGGGGTTAGTAGAATTGAGGAGATCGCTCCGGGAGCTGGGACCGTGAATTCACCTTGGGGAAGACCCCGCCCACTTTTGATTTCACTCCTGCGTTAGAGCTCTTTTTCGCCGTTTTTGCGCTTTCCCATGTGGATATTCGGATTCAGCATAGGGAATAGGCCCGGGTAAGCACAAAATCTCAAAATCGACTTTTTACCCGGACACTGCCTTTAAGAGGGTAACTTGCCTTTTGCAAAGAGCAAGTTTGCTTGATCTTTAGAGCGCAAGTAGACACATGCAGCGTTTGCTTCTGAGCTTGCATCAGCAAAAACGATGATGTCATGATCTGTCTTTTTTGAGCACAAGCATCGAGGAATTGATTTTCCAAATCCGTCGACCTCTTCGATAATTTGGTTCCAGTCCTGCATAAGTTTTTCGGGCAGAATGACATCCCAGTCAAAATTTTGTTGACACACGGAGCGAAGAAAGCCCTTAGCTTTGTGGAGCAATGGTGTCATGTGACAGAAGAATTCGTCCATGATAGAAGAATCCAAAACTTATGTGAAGTGACAGAAATATATGCTTCAAACGATCTCAGATCGTCTGATGACCGTCTGGAGACGGACTAATTTGGAAAAGGTAATACTTCACATAAGTTTTCAAATCTTTTTGCATAATCCTTTTGCAAATAATTCTTTATGTATGCTGCTCAATTTTGGTGCATATATTTCTGTGTGCTCTGTAAACAAGCGACTTATTCATTTCAGCCTTGCATTCAAATCGCGCGCGCTTTTCGCCAACGATAGAGCATGTCATTTGAGTGATAACCTGTCCGAAAAGCTTGTGTTCGACTAAACGGTGCTTATTCTTGGTGCTCGGTTCCGACTCCTCAAAAAAGATATCTCCTTTGCTTTTTGCTTTAAAAACGAAATTCAGCCTGCTTAAAGACGATCTGTGCCGGGCCCTAAAAGCAATCTCTACAAGGCGACTTTTAAGAGCCCGCCAAAATCGTACTCCACTGAAGTTTTGAGCTGAAATCTGATATCGAAACGAACTTTACCGTTAAAAATCGTATCTCCGCCCAAAAAAAACTTCAACGTTCCCATTTAGACTAGCATATGCTTGACACATCGGACATTCCACTGTACACTTCTCGTATTTCTTCCATGGTTAGAAATAAAGGAAAAATGAATAGAGAGAAATGACAAACTCCGCCCCTACACGTCCTGAGCTCCTCCCACGTTGTCAAAGCTCAGACATGCAGAAGTGCGATTATGTACTTGGTCCCTTTTGTAATTGCCCCAGTTTTCGAGAAATGCCAATGTTTAGGGTAAAACGGTAAAAAAAATTATGAGACACCCTAATGATTCAGGTGGGCGTCGCCCTTTTGCGGAAATTATAAGCAATATTGTAGGCCCCTGCCGGACAGTGGTTTGATTAATGCACATAGCAATATCTGTTACTAGTGCTCGATCCGAACAATAAAGCCATAATACCGTTCTAAAATTCTGAAAGCACCGCGGCGGCTTATAGTCCGTAGAACTTTGCGGCATTTTCATATCTCATTCATAGTGGACTAATTCTGAATTCAAGAACAACATTTAATTTGGTGCGAAGCGCAAGCGCATTTTGTGATTCATAGTGCCCGTTTGGATACGGTGATGACGCTAGACGGCTGAATTTCAGTAATCTTTATTCTGCTTGCAGTAGCTTACTCGCGGCATTCATTCATTGCGTACCGACTAACATACGATAAGTAAGGATTTGGAGAAATTTGACCGCCTACCGCACAAATACCTTATCCAAGAAGCACTGCTACGATTGTAGACAAATTCAGTACTCTTTCTTTGCCGTACAGGTTTGTTACGGTAGTATCTTCATCTTCTTTGTCTACAACATGCCCAGGTTTCAAGATAAAAGGACTTGCAACACTGCTACGATTATTAGATGCAGCTCGTCGAGCAGAGAAAAATAGTGCTTTTGGCTCCATATTACATCTTTCAAAAGCAAGATGTGGCGATGCGACGCAAATTTTGGCATGCTGTGGCGGCCGCCATAGTTGTTTTTTTTACAAATTACAAGCCGTACTGTGTTTTATGGATTACGGTAGATCAGGGCGTAGATTTACATTGGAATTTTCTGCGGAGAGTCTGCATAGCATTAAGAGAAGCAAGCTTCCGCAAAAAAACCGAACAAACTGGGGTGAACAGCTCATGATAGAAAATAGTTTTCTTTTACTTCGCGCAGAATTTATATTTGCAGCAGTGGTTCAAAGGAGAGCGTGAAATTGATTTCATTGAAATAGACACTGACGGGGATCTGTCGTGGAATCAGCTTCTCAACGAAATTGATCCTAGACGCATTCAACCCGGAAGAGAGCATGGGTAAGCCACCGGCTGCTGTTAGACATAGATAATTCCTACAAAATAATTTTAGGTATCAAGACTATGGAGATATGGTGGCTAAAGTGTTGCACTCTGACCATGATGGGGATATCTATATCGCTGTATGCGACAATCACTGTGAATTGGGACGCCCTTGATCTTCTGTATGCTTTCCAGTTCTGCATAACATCTTTGTAAGAGAGTTTATTGCCATGTATTAGGGATGGGGTTATTCAGCATGACTCAAATGTCCCATTTTCATATATCACTCCTTTCCCTTTTCGCCGCCAAGATCAGAAAGGCAATAAATGTACATGCATAAATAAGTCACACTATAGTCAAGATGCAACCGAATCTATCTACCATGATAAAACTACGATTGAAACCAGAGTCGAATCATTTCTAGTGCAGTGTCTGCCATCTGAGGGGGATGTATTCAATATAATTCAAGTGACGTATAACAGCTGTCCAAGTACTAATTTTCTAACTGGCATCTTCATTATTTTGTACAATACCGCATATAAGTCGTCAAAAAAGTTACCGAGGGTGGAATTAATTAAAATCCGCATTATCTTGTTATTAGTAAGTGGACGATCTCTGAATGCAAAAGTACCTTTCGAGTTTTCTCCGACTTAGCTCGACCACGTGTATTCTGATATTCGAAGTACCCGTTTGCATACGTTATTGAATATGATTTTTCAAAGATTTTGCTTACTGGAGGCTACTTAATGTGCAATGAATAGACACAATGAGTAACCTATCGTAAGCAAAAATTCAAGAGAAGCGTGAATTCCGACATTCTTATGACGGGCACTTCTACATAAGAAGATGCGTTTTCTTAGGGTGAGTCTAACGGTGTTTTTTGATTGAGAATTTGTCCACTTCAGTCCAAGATATGGCAATAAGACTGGTTTTTGTGTGTTCCGTGAATTTCGCGACTTTTTTAAACGAAGTACGAGCACTATGGTACATTGTAGTTGGAAAAAAGGCACCGCATGGTAGGAACTCGTTGACAGAATCACAGTGTTAACTAAAATTTTATGTACTTTCACTGGAATTCAAAAGATGACGCTTAACTTGGATCCTCGGCTTCCAAGCTGTAGATTTTGTGAGGAAAAATTGTCACTTGTTAAAAATGAGGAGTATTCACTGTCGTCCTCACCACACTAGAGACCCGGTCAGCAAATTCGAATTCGATTTGAAGCTGGCTGGCTGCCTCAGTATCAGCTTAGGCACTTTTCAAATTTCGTTACTGCATGCAATTTTTGTATTCTAACTCTAATTGAAACGGACGATTTACTGTTGGAGCGCTTTCCATTGTGTTCCTTCCTCTGAATCTGATTTGAGATAGGTTTGAGGAAAATGATGTAAATGAATTTAAGGGGGAAATTCACCAAACTTTACGTTTCTGCAAGCTTATCCGTGATTAGAGTCAAACAAATGAGCAAAGCACTATGAAAGTCACGAAACAACAATGAGTCCTTAATTCTCAGCCAAGAATGTTGTTAGAATACCAAAAGCAGCATATAACAGCGAAACACGAAAACAACATAAGCTTGCACTGAGGCTGAGGGTGCCACTTCCTAGTGCAGTCGCCCTGCTCTAGTTCAGTAGTTCGAATTCGTCCACCAAATGTCCGGAAGGATGCGAATGACATTTCAATGTTCTACTCTCCTGACCCTCTCCCACTCTCAAAGAAGACTTCAGTGATTTACAAGAGCATAAACCTCAAAAGCAGTAAGGTCATCCTTTGAGAGGTGCATCTTACAAAAGCTGGGACGTAGAAGTCAGTTCACCTCTCTTTTTCAAGCCATTATGAAAACTTTTTCTCTATCTATTCTATAAAAGTCATCGTCTTTAGCTTGCTGACAACGTAAATAATAAAACTCATACTCATTTTTAAATTATCTATTTTCCCCAAGAGATTTCTTCAATTATGGTGCAAACAGATAACAAAGTTTCTAAACAGTTATGTGTGTGACTGCAGATATATATTTTTTCACGCATTTTTCTGTATGAAATCTTGCGAAAAATTGCGTTCAATTTCCCCTTAAACTCAATTCCATCAGTTCTGCTTGTGTTTCGCGCATGTTAATTTGCTTGTTTATGTTATGTACTTTATGCTTTGTTATTTTGTTATTTTTGCCTCAAAGTAAATATCTCAAGTGCTACACAAATCATGTTTTATACCCATTTTATGAGCCGTTAGAAACGGTATCGCGAGAAACAGCTTAAGTGTGTGACTCAAACTGCTTGAACTATAATAGAAATGGTGGCAAAGTTCGAAATATCTCGCAAAATAATTCGGATATCTATCACAAGGCGATTCAAATTAATCTGCGGAATCTCCAGCACAATTAGCAAAGGTGCTGATGTCTACAAAATCGTCAAACTCATTGTTTTTATCCAAAAGAAGTTGAGTCAGTAGTCAATTGTACGAAGCCACGGAAGTCCGGAAGAATGTGCTTGGCCACATTAAGAAATGGCTGCAAATAGTTCTAAAAAGGGAAGGACGTACAACTATGTAATTCAGATTGCAGGGATTATAAGTCCAAAAGAAGATTCGTGCTGGGCTTATTGAAGGGAATGTATTGATATATCGTAGTACGTAATCCTTCGAGATATGATAGGATATTTGTGCGGCTAATAGTAGACGTGCAACCCCGTAGAATCCTAAGCTGAGCAAAGATTTGGCCCAATGGTAGGAAGTGGACGATGTTGCCTCGTTTTTATGTTGGCTGTTGAGTTTTACGAAAGCCTCCGGTGCTACAATTGCGTAAAATCAGCACCAAATTTTTTTCCTTATTCTGTTATCTAATAGTTCCTTGTCATTAGAATTTGTGTTTTGGACAAAAAGCAATGCTTCCGTTATTTTTGCCCCTCTTCTTTGTGTTGGAATCTCCTCCATCTCTAGGTTGCAGAGAAAGTTCTGCCAATAGACGCTAAATTGTTTTATTTACATCTTCATCATGAGTGACTGTCATTTAGCGATAGTTTGGTCATGTGTACTGACAACCTTAGACTACTGATTAGGTATATCATAGATGCTCTTTTTCTAGAAGCGCGCTGGCTGCATTTCAAAACGTGTGGAGTGTTCGACTTTTTGAACCCCGATTTCAAGATGTTATTTCTTGCTTGCAAAAAGGCCCGAGTATCGGCGCAAGTAATATTCGATATTGCTTCACCTAACCAACACATAGGACATGAAACGGATTTTCAAATCAAGCTTCTGGAAGTTCTGCGCGTCCATAATCTGAAAAATTTCCCTTTTCCTAGACCTTAGCGCAACGTATTTTTCTCCTTTTTTGCGCATTTTCTCCTAGTTGATCGTCATTTTTTCGAGCTGAATAGCGTGTTAGGTAGCTAGGGCCATCGCACATCAAGAACACATTTCAAACCAGCCCTTTGCGTTCCTATTCATTTTTGGTATTTACGATAAGATTTGGCAGAACTTTCTTTACAACCTTACGAAAAAAACTGCAGTTCATGGGAGTCGTTTGGGAGGAATCCTCAGATTGGATTGAATTCTTAAGCAGCTACCCTAGACTAATATATGTGAATGTCAAAGTTAGAGACGAGTACCGTAGAACCTTAAGGATTTTATTCACGCCAGACTGACTGCAGTGCGCACAGCATGAACATAATAACGAAACTTGAAGCTGCCAAGTTTCATACTTACATTCCTAGCCAGTTATTACATCAAGACTCTGTATTCGTCCTTTGATACCAAGGCAGTGGCTCGGGAAAATCGCGAGTGGGAGATTTTCACAACTAATGGCATTCTGGACAGCTGAGTCAGGTACAGTGCTTGAAAAATCAAAAAAGTGTTTTTTGACGATTTTCGACCTTGGAGATTGCTGAAGAGGCGGGGCGAGGGATTACCGTCAACTGTATCGTATTGAATGCCTGTGCTGATCAGCCAATTGCCGCTAAAAGAGGTGATGTTGCAGTATCCTGTAGTCACTTGCTGGGGGCGGGAATCCCTTGACCCGCCTCTCCAGCAATCTGCAAGGCCGGTAAACTCCAAAAAAAACACTTTTTTTGAAAACTCAGGCATAGTACCAGACTCAGCTGGTCCGGAAGGTAGTTGTGAAAAGCCCCTGTCGCGAGCCACTGCCTCTAAATTGACATGATGAAAAAATAACTACAAATGCACAGGAAAAGAATTTTGCGTTGAGGGAAGGTCTCAGTTTGGATCCTCCGCAATTTGTCGCCAACTCATCCTATTGGCGTTGATTGTCAACGCATTCAAGGACTCGTCGTCACTTGAGAGGTCGTTCAAAGTACATCTCTTCCACCTCATTCTCTCTCAAATTCGCGCTAAGAAGGCCTTGGTTTAAGGCCATTGTTCAAAGGCCTTTGCGATATATCTGCGGTATTGGTACCAAAAACGATCTTTTCCATTTTTACGCTACCTTATTCAAATATTTCCTGTGAACGTATCCATGAAATTGTAATATTCCCAGTCTGAAGGGAGTATTGAAGGGACCAATGATTTTTGGTGCTATCAAATGACATTATTCAATGGCTATATGCTATAAAGTACAAATCATTCGGGCTGTCTCTATTTTATTTATGAAAGTTTGGGGCGGGATGCTATCAGTATTTATCAAGGGCTTAGATTATGATTTCCTTTTTGTGATAATTTCATGCTCTCAACATTATTACCCACACACCACAAATTTCCAAACACTGCCAACTTTCAGCCCATAAACGAAGATCAACTTACTTAGAAGCTCTCATTTACAACAATGATGTGATTGACTATTTCCACTATTCTTCTCGCTTTTCTGACCGCCTTATTGTTCTCATTTGTTTTGAATATTCCACGTCTCATGATACCTACTCTGATTGTGTACACTCATACCAGTTCGTAAAACCTTGATCTTATTCTTAATAGCTATACAGCAGTAGCGGTCCCAATTTTCTTTATTGAAACGAGTGGCAACAAATTAAGATGAGGTGATTTAGGATTAGCCACTCCGTCCAAGAACTTCTTTGATGTTCTCCAAAGTTTCTGCAGACTATTCATTTCGAAAAGGTTGAGCGAAGGAAACCAGTGGTAATCGCGCCTAATGAAAACATTATCCTAAAAAAAACTGGTTTTTTAACGGAGTTTAAGAACTTGAAGTAAGCACTAAAAACGAAGCCAACAGGCCCGCACGGTTTTACCTTTCAGTCAAAATCTTTCGAAAATTTTGCGCTCCATTCGCAGGAGCACTCCTTCTTCCATCAAGCGTGCGCTCCCTCAAATCGTTACTGCTACATAGATGTAACATATTCTAGAAAGTAGCTTCATGCTGATACGTATTTACCCCGAGTCGGAACTGC